GATGACGTTATACCGAATAACATTGCGATAGCAAAATATTTCTGTGATCTTAAGTATATCATTGTTTTTTAATGTATACTCTACCGTGATTCTGTACCGATATTGTACATGATCGATGATCGCTATGATGATAATATTAATGCCATCACACGATAGTAAAATACAAAATAGTTATATTTAAAAAAAGCTGACTAAATTTTTCTAAACCTACTTGTATTATTACTATAAACAAGCACTTTTTTCACATCTATACTATCGATAGGTTATCACTATCGCAACAACACTAATGCTTAAAGGTGTCATGGGGAGGGATCCCTAGCAACGCGCCACCCTCATTCTGTCGGCGCACGCGACGACCAAATCCAAGCAATAAGTATTTCATTGTTTTGTTTTTCTAGACATTTTACAGACGTATCTTTAAGTTCACTGGTATTCTTAAACCTATCAATATATCGTGCTGTGCTTTAATTCTCTACCTAACATAACTATTTTTTAATGTGTAGAGTAGTTAATAATATATTATAAAAAAAATATTCAATTATAGCAATGTGGTAAATTATTTAAAAAAATATATATATTTTAAATGTACTAAAAGGAATAAAATAAAGAATTTTAAAATAAAAAAACGCCAACCTAATATGAACTTACAATAACAGAAACAGATTGTGTCATGCTTGGGACCATTCTTGCGCAACATTTGTAATCTTAGAGGTCTGTAATGAGAATTTGGTTCGGCTCAAGCATAATACAACTTCTTTGTTTTTATTTTTTCAAATTTTAAAGTTAACTAAATATTATTTCGCCGTGATTCTGTTTTTGTTATAAAAGTCATTTACTTACTGTACGTAAACCTCTTAAAATTATCAATTCACTGCTGCCACCATCAGCCTTATAATTTTTAAAATACGTATCTTACAAATACGTATCGTACAAGAATTGGTCTACTCTTGCAAAACCAGACAAACTAATTTGAGAACAACAGAACATCTTTAATACTGTACTTACGTTACGTAGTACCTAAAGTGTACAGAATCCACTGTTATCTAGCCCCGTGAGCGATGGTACCGTGTGACACAATCGTGACGCTCATTCATCAATCCTTGTCACAGCGACAATACACCTGTCAATACCCTGTACCCGCCCCATATCTGCCCCGTATCCTTACATACCACCACTTAGTACTAGTATTGTCCGAGGAAAACTTAACGACTTTCTGATTGATCGTCGTACTCTTCAAGTTTTATACTCGTACTTTCCCATAGAACGTGATTATTTTAAGTTTTTATTTCTGGAAAAATATCTATAAGAGATTTAATTAGAAAATTGTCAGAATTAGCAATACACGTTAAAAAGTCACAAACAAACAAGGCTATAGATAATTTAAGTGATTTCCAAAGTTTAATCAAATCTAGGTAAACATTATATTATTATATTTAATTCTCCTTTACATTCAATGTCAAGTAAGCTAATTTCTAAAAACTTTATATTCTAATTAAAAATTACCAAAAGAGATGCTAAGATGAAGAGAGCACGAAGGAGCTAGAAATAATATATCCTTAGCTCCTTCGTGCGTATGTGAAGCCGTTGGTCTCAGTTGCATCTGCTTTTGCAGTCTTATCCGAAATGGACCAGCGTGGTGGGATAATATAACTCGTTTTCCCTATTTGATTCTGACTCTATCCATAGGGTAAGCATGTGCTCCAGCAAGTCACGTTTTTACAATCTATCATGTAAGAAGTTAATAATAATCAAAGAACTACTGTAGTAATATTTATTTTGTAATTTATTTACAAACAGTCTTGCCCTCCCCGATGCAACCAGCGTACGCCATCAGGTGTGGTATCTGGCTCTGTTCATAAACTCCCGAGAACATGTGGTGATGCGGTCCACGAGCGAACACTGCTACGTCGTCACCACCATGCGTCTCCGAATCGAGAGGCACCTCTGCTGCGTAACGGAACTCTAAGTTCTCTGCAACAAAGACCGTTCCTCCTTGTCTAAACTTCCTAATATGTATATCACTTATTATCTTTTTTTGGTTAAATAATGGATTTGTACATGTTATTAATAGGATATAATTTCTATATTAAAAAAGTATTTCAATTTTAAAAAAATGGTTCTTTTTTTTAATTTAAATAAACCACAAAAAATATTTATTTCTTAATACTTCGTTTACGTGCCGTGAAATGAAATCAAAATTTGAACATTTTTTTTTACACGCGTAAAAAGTATCTGATCAGAATTCTGCCGATACGATTACGTTACACCATGGGTGGGTTGAGTTTTAAGTCACAACATAACTAGACAAAAATCTTGATGTTTAATTCAATAACATAATTATCTATGCGATTTAACGACTCAAAATCAATATATAATTCAATGTTAATTTAAGTTTTCCGAAATTTTGTGACTGAAGTTTCACTACCTAATATATCTTAAATTAAATCAACACAGCATTACGAAGAAGGAGCATATAAAATCGTGTCTGTTCTCGGAACTGATTTCGTATGTCGTATATTCGGCTAGTTACATGGTATCATAAAATTTCATAATATGTTTACTATAATATGAGCTTCTTGCACGGTACAATAAGGGCCTTCTGCCAATTAAATAAAAATAATGGATTGAAGTGTCAAATCATTATTAAAAGTCACTTTACCACGCGCTCGAAGAGGCAAAAGTTGGTAAGATATAAAGGAAAATGAAAACGATATTATGAGTCCAAGATTAAGAATAGCATCAGTAATACTTAAAATCTTACCAAAATTATACTTCGTGAGATCATCACGTACTCCATGCGCAACATGTGGCCGAAAACCAGGACCATTTGCATAGGAAAGCGTCATGTATGGTACACCGTCATCGCCTAGTTGGCCGGCCGGGCCTAAGATGTCGGCGCCTCGTGATGTATATCCGTTTAGAGTCATAACATGAGCGTGGTCTGAGGTGACAACTATTAGAGTTTCTTCTTCGGGCAACAGCTTAGCGGCACGTGCCACTGCTTCACTCAACTGAATCGTCTCGTCCAATGCGAGGCGCGGGTAATTATCATGATGTGCATGATCAATACGCCCACCTTCTACAAAGAGAAAGAAACCGTTCTCGTTGCGACTTAAAGACTTGATTGCAATCTCTGTCAACTCTGCTAGGGTTGGCTCAGTTGTTTTGTCCGCTTGCATGTTATATTGCATATGAGAGTCTTCAAACAGCCCCAGTAAAAATTCGGGTGGAGACAATGATAAAGCCATCAGACCATCTCTATTCCACACGTACTCATGGGTCACATTACGCAATATTTTGTCAGTTTTCCATTCTTCAATTAGATTTCGATTATCTTCACGTCTTCCATAGGTACCTTCTTCATCCATGAGATCCTTGGGTATAAACTCGCGTCTGCCTCCTCCTAAAATAACCTAGTAATAGAAATTTTACAAATTAAATAAATACATGTTCATTAAGTGCTGACGAATGATTGAAACTAATAATAATAATTCTTGTTTCAATACCGAACGGATTATTGAAAACAATAATAATTGTAAATCTTGTTTCAATAATAAGGTGAAAATACAATGCATTAAGTGCCCATCTCACTCACACTCTCCGGAGGTCAGGCGCGCGGATCACCCGATGGAGTGCCACTTCAATCATACCGATTGGCCAAAATTTGTCGCGATAAAAATTTACCTTTCTAGGCACCTTTTTAATTTTTGATGTTTTATATTCAAAAAAAATATTATCGTTTCATACGTGTTTCAAAATGTTTTTTTTTTCTTATTACTGACATCAGATATGTGTAGGGTGTGCTTATCTTTAAATTCTCAATTCAGAAACCGCGTGTAAATACAACGTTATAACAAATTAAATTTATGCATGATATGTAATGTAATAAATACGCATGTATTTGCGGCTTACGGAAAATTTCAAATTACCAGAAGAACCGAGATGAACGGGAGACCCAAGGGACTTTTTGACAGTTACTGGCTTAAAAATTTATTTATTTTATTATATTGATATATTGATAATATATCCTTAACAAAAAAAAGATCAAAAAAATTTTTTTTTACATTTTTTAGAGATGGGACTCGAAACTACGATCTTTCGCAATCTGGGCCACTGCTCTAAACTATTAAAATTTATTTTATTCATACTTTGAACTTATTTCCGGGGTAGTTGTCGATGAGTTGCGCTGCTATGTCTTGCTGCGCGGGCGCACTCTCATTTCCAATGGGGCACTCTGCTACCATATCGGCGTCGCTCTCCCAATCACGTTCCGCAGTGTGAGCATATGTACCCGCCGGAGATGCGTGTGTAACACGCGTTGTAGTTACAACACCTAATCATAAATAGTTTTAATTTTAGATAAACTTCTGACGGCGCAGAGTAAATATTGTATGGCTCAGTAAACCAATGACCAACTAATAAAAAAGACTCATAGAAACTGTTGACATCCCATATGCAGACCTGTATTGTATTGGCTATGAATTTTGTTATAATTACAATTGTTTTGTTTAAGTATTGTAATTGGAAAGCTGTAATTATTAATCTGTTTAACCGAGCAGTAGAGCTATTTAAAATAAATATATTAACTATATATTGATATTTATTTGCATGTAACTAAAATTTAAATGTGATAAGGATGACATTGAATTGATAGTCCTGATATTAATCAAGGTCATATTGTTTAGATAAGCTTGTAGAAACACTTCATAAAAACAGCGCATTATTGTAATGCACATTAACTTATGCAAATTATCCTCGGAGATCATTTTGGACTAGGGTACCTCAAAAACTAAATTTAAATCACAGGCATTTAGATAATTGTTTGGAAAACTTGAAAAAATATATTATTCATTTTAACGAATCGATATGTCTACTTGAGTTTCACCAATCTTGATACTGTTTCAAGTTAAATATTTTTTGAAAATTTTTTGTGGCAAACAAACCCACGAGTCTTATATGTAAATGTTAAATTGTAGTACTGGAGACTGCATAAATATTATTTAATACTGACCGGCGTCTTTGCCAGCCTGCAGAGCCCATGCTGCGATAGAGTAGACGTGGTCATTAGGTTCGGTTGCTGCTTGACAGTGACGGCGCATGACAGCGGGCGTCACGCCGATAGTGCCGTAATTGGCTTTAGCACCGCACAAGTATGCCGTCGCAGTACATGCAGAATCCGCCACTTGTGCGTCTACGCAATAAGTCTGTACCGGAACGCATGCATACAAGAAAAACAATCATATGAAATATATTGCTATCCAGCTACTAATACTAAAAATGACAAACATAATTAGGAACTAGATTTGACACCCTCATAAGAGTCACAAAATGTTAAAGCCACAACATAAATTTTACCCTTAACATAAATTTTAAAGAGAAAAAAAAATTATAAGCCCCGAGCAAAAATTTTGTAAGGAATTTACTCAGATTACGAAGAAAGATGATCTTATATTAGAGTTCTTACTTAATCGAAAATATTGCTTTTATTATCAATTCAATCAGCATCCACCGGATTTTTAAAATCAATGAATTTCAGCAGCCTACGTATATCCCCACTACTGGAGCTCCGGTTTTCCTTATGGCAGCTATTGACTCAAATCAAATAGGGAGAATGGACCCAGTGTGGAGTGGTGGGTTTTAACGACTGCTGATGCAAGCGAGACTAACGGCTTAACGTGCCCCATCGTATGGCCGACTCTTGCGAAAATTGCTTGACAATTAATCTCACAGACTCTTCAAGAAGAATGAATTTAGATTAACAATAAATTATGGAACCTTAGCGAGGCCGACAGTAGGGAAAGCTTCAAACGATAGCTGACTTTCTTCACCGGTGCGGCCCTGTCGCTGACCTAGAAGTGCGCGTGCGGCAGCTAGCGTCGGCACGGACATACCATCACCCAGGAACATAACGATATTGCGTGCAATTCCAAATGTTTCCTTACGCCTCGCTTCCCTGGCCTCAATAGCCATGCGCGCCTCTTCTTGCCAATACGAAGGCTTTCGTTCCACGTCATTCATCTCCGACGCTCCTCCGCGCCACGATCCATGATAAACGTCGCGTTCTACACAAAAAATATTCTATTTTATAAAACCTTATTGTATTTTACTGTAGTATTCCAAAATGATTATATTTCTATAAATATGACCTACCAAATGAGAAGTGAACTACAGTAATCAAGAAAAATATGCGCAACATGATGTTAACACGAGCAACACAAGATTGCTCTCAAAACACTGATCTATAATTCAATTTCACGATCTACGGCTGTCTGTCAAGATTTTCATATCAAACTGCTGATATGCATCGAAATTAGATTAATTTTTTCGATAAGCCAACATAGGCAAATATTATAATTTTGTCGGATAAAAAATGTGTGTTTCTTGTTGATTACCGCCTCACGAAATGTGAATTTTGTGTGACGTAACAAGGGAACGTAGTTCTACTTGTGCCAATTTCGCCGGGTCATTACCCGCGCCGCGGCGACGACGCCAGGACTTTTATTGGAGCGACTTAATGGAGCTTTGATGAAAAATCGACGCCGAACCATACTATGATTCTCTCTCTACACACATGGCAATCCTACGCATAATAGATATCTAGAATAGACATCGACATTACCGGACTCATTAATACTTAAAATGTACCCCTTAAACATTTGACGGAGAATCTAAGACATAACAAGACAGGATTATTTATAACTATAGTAAGTATGGAGTATCTTCTATATACGTGGCATATACGTCAAACAGTACATATTCTATACTTTCTATAGTTATAGCAGTGATGATTGTTTAATAGACGTCACCAAATATACCATGACAAATTTATCTACGACCGGTGCCGGTGGCGCGTTAATTGAAAGTATGTGTTTATATTGCATTCCATGCAACATATCATATATATCATGATAAATTAATGTAGAAAGATATAGTGTAGTGACAATGGAAACACCTCACCTTTTTGCAGAAGCAGACGCAGAAACTGCCTTCCAGCGTTTAGATGCGGTCTTGTTCTGTCAAACGTCGTTTGCAAGTCATCTACAGGAGCTTATAACAAAACAATACGAATACAATATGTTCATTTACGTTACATACAGGGAGTTAATCAACTACAAACAAACACCGGTCAGCAGCGGCCTTAGAATATCTGATGCCTGTTTACTCTCAGCCTTTCTTATGTGTGCGCTAAAATCCATCCTCATACGTTGATGAAATCATAACAACCTTCAAGACGATATTATTCTGAGATACAAGATTGTGTTTTATCTAATAAATAAAATAATTCCCCGAATATTACGAGTCCGTTGTTATGTACAGTTTATTAGAAATAAAGGATCACATTTCGTACCGTAACTGAGTAATTAGCAATTTGAAACGGTCAACTTTTACGACTTCGGGTGCAATCTCAGGTAAACTTACTTTGATCTAAAAGTATAACGATTGTAATTTATCAATTATAAAACAATTCAATAATTTTTTTCTGTAGGTATTAATTTAATGATAAGCGATAAACTTCAATAGTATTTTCTTGAATAAGTCACTTTTGAGATAAATATTATTTATCACTTTTTAAAGTTAGTCAGTCATCATCATCATCACTTCAGCCGAGAGACGCCCACTGCTGGGCATAGGCCTCCCCCAAAGATTTCCAAAGCGATCGGTCCTGCGCCTCCCGCATCCAGCGGCTTCCCGCGACCTTTACCAGATCGTCGGTCCACCTTGTGGGGGGCCTACCAACACTGCGTCTCCCGGTACGCGGTCGCCACTCCAGGACCTTACCGCCCCAACGGCCGTCAGTCCTGCGAGCGATGTGCCCTGCCCACTGCCACTTGAGGTTCGCAATTCGACTAAGACTCGGATATTCAATGACGTCTCAGTGATCAATTCGTTTAATACGGGAAGCGATCACCGTATGGTAAGAGGCGCATTGAATCTAAATGTAAAAGCTGAACGGTATCGACTGGTGAAGTCTACACTCCGTCCTGAAGCCACCCAGATCCGGGACCCCGAACACTTTCAGCTCGAACTTCAAAACCGCTTCGATTGCCTGGAGAGCTGCTCGAATGAAGACGAATACAATGACAAGGTCGTAGAAGCTGTCCTTACGGTGGGTTCAAAATTTGTCAGACCTCGCCGTACTCAAAAAAGAAACAAGATCTCGGAGCAGACAAGCAAGTTAATGGAAGAAAGGCGTGAAATGGTTCTGCAGTCTTCTGAGGATGCTCGTCGGCAACTCAATAGACAGATCTCAAAGTCTCTCACACGCGACATACGCCAATTTAATACTCAATGTATTAAGGAGGCGATTGAGCGGAGTAAAGGCTCTAAAGTGTGATCTGTCTCTCGGACAAAGCTTGCTGACGAAGCTTGCTGACGAAGCTAAAGACAGAGGACGGCAGAGTCGTTACATCCCGTCCTGAGCTTGTGGCGGAGATCGAACGCTTCTATGGACAGTTATACACAACATCACAGAAACCTGTCATTGAGGCTACAGACCCTAGAGCCAAATTAACCCGACATTATACCGAAGACATCCCGGACGTCAGTCTATACGAGATTAGTGTGGCTCTCAAACAGCTCAAGAACAACAAGGCGCCAGGGCATGATGGAATCACAGCGGAACTTCTGAAAGCGGGTGGACTACCAGTCCGGAAAGCGCTTCAGAATCTATTTAATTCCGCCATACTCGAGGGCAAGACGCCGGAAGCATGGCACAGGGGTATGGTGGTGCTTTTCTTCAAAAAGGGCGACAGGACCCAATTGAAGAATTACAGACCCATCACGCTTCTGAGTCATGTGTACAAGTTAGTCAGTGCTATATTAAAAAAAAAAAGTTTTGTTTCATGCTTTTTAGTGATATTTATATAATAGGTAACACTCAAAATAATAAATGTCTATATAAATAAAAATAATCAACAAAGTGAAAGTCTTAGAAAGGATGATTTTGGTTATTTGCTCAACGTAATTTTCATATTATAAAGAGGAAAGATTTGATTGCTTGTTTGTATGCATTGGATAGGCTCCGAACCAATGGATTGATATATAATTATTTAATCTATGGGAAGTTAAATAATACACATTCGACATAGGCTTTATAATTTACATATGCGAGGTCGCGAACAAACACTAGTTTGATAGAAATCGGTTCACAATTCAAGAAGAAATCGATTAACATAACTACTTTCATAAAAAATATACATATTCCTTGAACCCCCTTTCGGATTTTGGATAAATTCCAAATACGCAATTTTTAATTATAGCTAAAATACATGTAATTAAAAATTGCAGATACCGGTTTTTTTTAATCCGGTTGTTAATTTCCCGTCCGATTAAAATCCAGATAATCCGATTTTTTTTTTGTGATTTAGTGTCTTGATAAAAACGAAATGAAATATCGTCATCATCATGTCAGCTGTTCGATGCCCACTTCTGGGCATAGGCCTCCCCCCTGGGTACCCACGACGATCTTCTTCTTCTTCTTCTTCTTCTTACAACGGGCGTCTCCGCAACTCGACGACCAAATTGCGCCTATTTTGCGTGTGGAGGGTGTGTGGCTGGATACTACTCCAGCCAGCCCAGCTCTGCCAGGAACGCCCCGAGCGCCTTCACATCTGCGATGGCCTCTTGGAGGTTGCCCGGCGAGCCGAGGTACTTTGCCCGGTAGTTGGCCACTCCGTTGCATTCCAGCAAGACGTGAGTGGCTGTTTCTTCCGCCTCCATGCATCCACTGCACAAGGGGCTGTCAGTGACACCTAGATTGAAAAGGTTACCAGGCACCCGTTACCAGGCGCAAATATGGTTTACTTAGCTGTAGGAGGGCTTTGGAGAGGCGAGCGTTCACTCGGGGTAGTGCAAGTTTGGCCTGCCTGCAGGTTTCCAAAGTGTGCCAGTATTGTTGATGTAGTTTACTCGAGTGTTCACGTATCCTACCAATTAACCAGCTTACCGGAATAGGAATGATCGGTTCCGGGTCCATTGGTGTTGCATCTGATCCTCTGCGTGCCAGTTCGTCAGCTGCATCATTTCCACGTGATCCACTGTGTCCTTTTATCCATTGGATAGTAATTATATTTTGTGTCCCTACCATGTTTAGAACCTGGTGACACTCCTGTAGAAGACTCGATCGGACAGAACTTCCTTTGAGAGCCTGTAGGACTGATTTACTGTCCGAGAAGATCCGGATTTCTGATCCTGTTACCTTCCTTGTAGTTATCGCTCTCGCCGCCAGGGTGATCGCCATACATTCAGCCTGGAAGACTGTATTGTATGGGCCGAGGGGCAGGAACAGATGTATGTTAAGGTCCTCAGAGAATACACCAGCCCCTGTGCCTGTTAAGGTTTTGGAGCCGTCCGTGAAAACTGTAAGGGCCCTGTGTGTTACCTTTGGATCGTCACTGTCCGTAAGATGTATCTTGTATTTCTTGTCAAAGATGAAGGTGAATTCGATTCTGTCGCAAACCGCCTCTACAAGCGGGGTGTTAAGCCATTCTTTCAGTAAGCCATTGAGATGTTTAGCGGTATCGAACCTTACCAGTTTATGATTTTTTAGTCTCAACGCTGTCTTGGCCGCTTCCTGTCTAATATAAATATGTAGCGGTGTAATATTCAACATTACCTCCAGAGCTGCCGTGGGCGCCGTGCTCATGCATCCCGTCAGGGCGCAGCACGCCTGCCGTTGGAAGCTCTGCAGTTTGTTTTCACAGGAGGACTGAGTAGTTTTTGGCCACCAAACAATGGCACCATAACTTACCATCGGTTGTATTACTGTGTTGTAAAGCCACAAGAACAGTTTTGGCGCAAGTCCCCAACGCTTCCCGATCATTTTGCGGCATTGCCACAGGATGACGCTCGCTGATTTAATTTTGTGTTCTATGTGGCTGTTCCAGTTTAACTTACTGTCAAGGGTTATGCCTAGATACTTTACCTCCTTGGACAGTTGTAGTGTTGTACCAAATAGTTTCGGTAGGTGAAACGTGCCTACATTGTGTTTGGTTGTGAACATTACCAGTTCCGTTTTTGCAGGATTCACGGTCAGGTCGTACTTTTCACACCAGCGTTCGACTCTCTTCAGGACGGCTTGCATGGTGTTGCAGGTTATACCAGCATGGGTGCCTAGAGTTAATATTGTGATATCATCGGCATACCCTATGGTGTAGAAATGGTTTGCATTCAGGAGTGTGATCAGGTCGTTGACCA